ACAGTAGCGTACGGTGGCCATGGGTGATATTTTTATACAATGAATAACCCCTGTAATATAACATGTATCAAAATTAAAAAAAAAAAAAATCAGCACTAAAATTGGCATATACATGATGAAGTGGACTATGTGGGCTTCATAATTTAAAAAAAAAAAAAAAGTCGAATTTGGTTTGAGACTACAATTTTGGGCATTTACGAATCTGTGTCTACACAACAAAAGCTAGCTTTTCATGTAGTCTATTTTTGTACTCAGCACATGTGTAAATATTGTGAAAAATCCACCGGAATGACCTATGCTAAAACGTGAGTATTTCTGTTACCGAGTAGGCGATATTTAATTTCAGACAGGTTTTAAGAAAAACAATTCTACTTGCGGGGGTCAAATTCTGGGTTAAAAATCATGATTTTTTGCATATTTTGGTGTTTTTTGATGTGGTAACCATGGTTTTCAGAAGTCCCAAATCTGGGGAAATNCGATTCGTTTGCAACGCGTGTTTTGATTGGATACGGACCATGTTCTAATCTGCGATAGAATCATGATCAATCGTGTTAAGCTCCTCCCATCGCACTTAAGCCACGCCCCGTTTCAAACTAAAACAATATGGCGTCAAGCTCGCCTCTTAGCGAAATCCCGCTGATAAGACTAGTAGGCAACAGAACAGAAACGACCGATGAAATGTATTTGTTGAATGAATTAAAAAGTAAAAAGTACACATTCCTTGTTCTTACCTCCATTTATTACTGAAACGTTCGTTCCATCCGTGTGAAGACATCTACTTAGATCCGAAATCAAATGAAACATTTCACATGTGTCGTATGCATTTACACAAAACTCTTCACAAATCTATACAAATAATCACCGATTTTGTCGATAAGCACAGATTGGTATGCATACTGACATGGAAATGTAAGAACTTGGTCAATATTAATCCAAATGTGTCGTATAAACTTTGGTAACAGGACGTTCACGAACAATCCAAATATTCCGCCTCGTCAACATACAGATCGAGCGCTCGCCAGTATGGGCGGGGCCAAATGACCGACTTTTGAAAGCGTCTTTCCGATTGGTCGGTCCGCTGCAGTATGACACGTCGCCAGTTCGGGTCACAAATTATTTTACTGTGTACTTTTGTACAAGGAAATACAATGTTTCTAAACATATTAGCGTAGTATATTTGTTCAAGTGTGTTAGAATGGGGATAGTACGTTGTTTTTCGTGTCTATACTGGCGATTAGAACATGAAATTTGGTTTAAACTCTCGACCTAGCGGTCTCGAGTTCAAACTTAAATTTCATGTTCTAATCGCCAGTATAGCCACTCAAAACAACGTACTATCCCCTAATTAGCCTAAAAAACCTACCAATATACATGAACCGGTGTCATGGTACAAGAAAACCTACCTATATACATGAACCGATGAAATGGTACAAGAAAACCCACCTAAATACATTAGCCGATGTCATGGTACAAGATAAACCTACTTTTATAGATTAGCCGATGTCATGGTACAAGATAAACCTACTTTTATACATTAGCCGATGTCATGGTAAAAGATAAACCTACTTTTATACATTAGCCGATGTCATGGTACAAGATAAACCTACTTTTATACATTAGCCGATGTCAAGATATGAGAAAACCTACTTTTATACATTAACCGATGTCATGGAACAAGATAAACCTACTTTTATAGATAAGCCGATGTTATGGTAAAAGATAAACCTACCTATATACATTAACCGATGTCAAGGAACAAAAGAACCTTTCAAAAGTCATTAGCCGATGTCATGGTAAGACGACCTACCATAATACATTAATCGATGTTATGGAACATAAAAATCTTTCCAAAAGTCGTAAGCCGGTGTCATCCTATGTAAACCGGACTGGGTATTGATGAAAATTTTGTCAAGAAATTTGTAATTTTGATTTCCCTTTGTTGATATATGTAGTTAGTTGTTTTCAACTGATTTGGTTGTTGTATTTTTTCTTTCAGAATAATGTTTGCTGTTTCAGTTTTTTAATTGTCAATTGTCATCTCTCATAAAGATGCTGCAAGTTATTCATTATACTTTTGAATAAATACTAAAATTATCTGACAAATATACTGTTTTAGTCTGATCGTACAGATACTGAAAACAAACGAAATAGGTAATGGTGAAGCCGTTCAAGTCCAGGTTGTAGGCATACAGTGTTTGTAGGTTGTTTGACATTTTAGGAATGAGATTGAATTTTGCTAGAGGTTAGGTTTCCGTTAAAAGAATTATCTCGCAACTCATGGAAATAAAACTATCAAACAGTTTCATATCTACAAGCTACCGTTGGCAATAGCTGGCATTACGGAGTGAGACATTTGAAATAACATTTCCCCTGATTTATTTATCTGAGAGACAGGAACGAAATTTAAGGAAGTCTGACCTTCTTTAAATGGCCATGGGGTGTGATTGTCTAGATAGTGTCAAAATCTCCCTTAGTTTGTGTAGATTACCCCAATGACACTACTGCAGGATGGCGGGCATTGACAAGCTGTACTGAGCTGGATTTGTACACGTATTCTCCCCTAAATAAGTTACCGGTCCTTGTCAATGGTCCATTCACCCTGTCCTATAGTAAAAATAACCTTCACCAAAAAGTACAAGTGCACTCGGCTACGGAACATTTACCTTCACATTTAGTATACATTCACCTACAATACAGGTAGCCTTGACTATGGAACATTTCCCTACACCTTTAGTATACATTCACCTACAATACAGGTAGCTTTGACTATGGAACATTTACCTACACCTTTAATATACATTCACCTACAATACAGGTAGCCTTTACTATGGAACATTTACCTACACCTTTAGTATACATTTACCTACAATACAGGTAGCTTTGACTATGGTACATTTACGTTCACCTTTGGTATACATTCACCTACAATACAGGTAGCCTTGACTATGGTACGTTTACCTACACCTTTAGTATACATTCACCTACAATACAGGTAGCTTTGACTATGGTACATTTACCTTCACCTTTGGTATACATTCACCTACAATACAGGTAGCCTTGACTATGGAACATTTACCTACACCTTTAGTATATATAGTATATATGTGCCTTTGCCTATACTACCGTACATTCACCAATATTATAAATGCCCCTGCCTATAATACTGTACATTCACCTATAGTACAGGTACTCCTGCCTATGGCACACGTACCTAAACCTATGATGCAGATACCATTGCCATTATTATATACCTCACTAATAACAGTTTGTCTGATTGGATTGTACTCAACAAATGACGGGGAAATAAAACATCGTGTCTTTCTCACGCGTTCGAGTTTCCCTGGTCATATTTTTCTTACTCTGAGCTTCTCTAGGAAAACGTGAAACAACCACAGTTTAGTAAAAACGATATTGCCCTTGCGGTAGGGAAACACAATTCTTTGTTTTTACTTTGGCGAGTGTCCCCTCCCCTAGGATACATGTACCTTCGCCTATAGTACAGGTACCCTCCTCTTTAGTACAGATAACGTCACCTATACAGTACATTCATGTATGGAGAGAGAGGGTTGTGATTAGGTTATGTCCCTGTAACTTGCAATGCATGTCACTAAAGTACATCCGTCCGATAATCAGACATGTGGGTGGTGTAACCTCATACAGCGCCACCTGGTGTGCGCTTTTGTGTCTGTTGAAATAAGAGATGGAGGCGAGATGTGAACACACACACACACCAGTTATTTCTGACACTGTATGTAGAATGTTATGTGCACAAATTATGTTAAAAAAAATCAAAAAAATCAATCTATCAGCAATCAGAAGAGGAACTATTATTTAACAAACCCACGCAGACTGACATGGACACCAAAGGCAACAGCTCGCCCTCGTCTCGAATGACGCACTGACGCAAATAAATATCAACAACCAACACGCCATGTTCTTGTCAATTAATATCATTTCTCATATCATTTCTATTTTACTTTAGAGAACAGATGAATACGGATATAACACAGGTTCATGTTTCCCTTCATAAATAGTTCAAAGTAGCCTGCCTTATCCTCATTTCAAATGATTACAAAACGGCGGGTTTGAAGTGTAGGTTATGGTTAAAATGATGTTTAGTCGGTGTAAACGTGTAGGGAACGTTACGTCAATCGATAAACAATTACATAATATTTGATTGTGGTCATCTGATGCTTGTGATGTGAGTTCGCGCATTAGTAATACTCGTCTCTGTTAAAAGACTATCTTATGAAGATATAACCATATAATTTTGCAATATATATGTGAATGTATATAGAAAAATAAGTACCATAAGCAAATAAGTACTGTAACAATGATGGTGCAGCCAAACGAATTTGTTAAATTTACAAGGACAGGAACATGAACCTACATATCACCACATATAACAAAGATAACGTCACTTTGAAACAGTACTACAACAAAAATACATAACAAAAAAAACCTTATGATATACATGTATGATGATAGTACCGCTAATCCCTTCCGTTAGCTTGTAACCATAAGCTACTTATGATAAAAAAAACCTCATCTTAACACGTGAATTCATGTGAATTTTTAGTAAATGTTTTGACAAAGGCTTTAAAAAAATCTATTAACTGGCGTGGAAAAAATGCGGGGAAAATAGAAAACAAAATGAGTATATATGTTATATCAACAGATAACACACTAACGTAATCAATATTAGGTATAACATTTCGTAATTGAACATTTTGCAGTTCAAATAAAATCTGCCTGTACCGGAAACCTATGTTTTCAGAAATAAAGTAATTGTGAGAGTTATTTACTACGATGTCGTAAAACATATCAACGCTGAACTATAAATGGCAGACTAAGACATACGATGGCAAAATGTATCATTCTCCAACAGGTTTCCGATAACAAGTAGTCGGCACGAGATCAGTTATATCAGGTCATCTGAAGCAACAATTGCGTTTTACAAGAGGCTAAGATAACAATACCATCACTGATTATATACGAACCCCTCCATACAGGAACCGTTGATGATCATGCAAAAGAACATCCAATATGAAACCCTCCATTATCTAGAGAAAATAGGCATTGGAAATGTTCGCTGAACAGGTGTAGTTACCTACATACAGTCTGATCTGGTTCTGTGTCTCGTCGTATCACTCTACATGTGATGGTTCTGTGTGTCCCCACGACTCACTGTACACGTGGTAGTTCTGTGTGACAACACGTCTCAATGTACACGTGATAGTTCTGTGTGTCAACACGACTAACTGTACACATGAAGGCTCTGTGTGTCAACACAACTCACTGCACACTTGATGGTTCTGTGTGTCACTGTACACGTGATAATTCTGTGTGTCAAAACGACTCACTGTACACGTGATAGTTCTGTGTGTCAACACGATTTACTGTACACGTGATAGTTCTGTGTGTAAATACGACTCACTGTACACTTGATGGTTCTGTGTGTCAACACGACTAACTGTACACATGAAGGTTATGTGTGTCAACACAACTCACTTTACACTTGATGGTTTTGTGTGTCAACACGACTAACTGTACACATGAAGGTTCTGTGTGTCAACACGACTTACTGTACACGTGATGGTTCTGTGTGTCAACACGACTCACTGTACACGTGATGTTTCTGCGTTAAACCAAGGCTCACCGTACTCGTGATAGTTCTTTGTGTCAACACGACTCACTGTACACTTGATGGTTCTGTGTGTCAACACGACTGACTGTACACGTAATGGTTCTGTGTGTCAACACGACTAACTGTACACATGAAGGTTCTGTGTGTCAACACAACTCACTGTACACTTGATGGTTCTGTGTGTCCCCACGACTCACTGTAAACGTGATAGTTCTGTGCGTCAACACGACTCACTGTACACGTGATAGTTCTGTGTGTCAACACGACTAACTGTAGCAATGAAGGTTCTGTGTGTCAACACGACTCACTGTACACGTGATGGTTCTGTGTGTCAACACGACTCACTGTACACTTGATGGTTCAATGTTTCACCACGACTAATTGTACACATGAAGGTTCTGTGTGTAAACACAACTCACTGTACACTTGATTGTTTTGTGTGTCAACACGACTAACTGTTCACATTAAGATTCTGTGTGTCAACACGACTTACTGTACACATGAAGATTCTGTGTGTCAACACAACTCACTGTACACGTGATGGTTCTGTGTGTCAACACGACTCACTGTACACGTGATGGTTCTGTGTGTCAACACGACTCACTGTACACTTGATGGTTCTGTGTGTCCCCACGACTCACTGTAAACGTGATAGTTCTGTGCGTCAACACGACTCACTGTACACGTGATAGTTCTGTGTATCAACACGACTAACTGTAGCAATGAAGGTTCTGTGTGTCAACACGACTTACTGTACACATGAAGATTCTGTGTGTCAACACAACTCACTGTACACTTGATGGTTTTGTGTGTCCCCACGACTCACTGTACACGTGATAGTTCTGTGTATCAACACGACTAACTGTAGCAATGAAGGTTCTGTGTGTCAACACGACTTACTGTACACATGAGGATTACTGTTCACATGAAGGTTCTGTGTGGCAACACGACTTACTGTACACATGAAGATTATGTGTGTCAACACAACTCACTGTACACTTGATGGTGTTGTGTGTCAACACGACTAACTGTTCACATTAGTGTGTCAACAAAACTCACTATACACTTGATGGTTCTGTGTGTCAACACGACTCACTGTACACTTGATGGTTTTGTGTGTCAACACGGCTAACTGTTCACATGAAGGTTCTGTGTGTCAACAAAACTCACTATACACTTGATGGTTCTGTGTGTCAACACGACTCATTGTACACATGATGGTTCTGTGTGTCAACACAACTCACTGTACACTTGATGGTTTTGTGTGTCAACACGACTAACTGTTCACATGAAGGTTCTGTGTGGCAACACGACTTACTGTACACATGAAGATTATGTGTGTCAACACAACTCACTGTACACTTGATGGTTCTGTGTGTCAACACGACTCACTGTACACATGATGTTTCTGTGTGTCACCGGGACTCATTGTACTCGTGATAGTTCTGTGTGTCAACACTACTCACTGTACACGTGATGGTTCTGTGTGTCAACGGGTCTCACTGTACACATGAGGGTTCAATGTTTCACCACGACTAACTGTTCACATTAAGATTCTGCGTGTCAACACGATTAACTGTACACATGAAGGTTCTGTGTGTCAACACGACTCATTGTACACGTGATTTGATGGTTCTGTGTGTCAACACGACTAACTGTACACATGAAGGGTCTGTGTGTCAACACAGCTCACTGTACACTTGATGGTTTTGAATAACCAAGGCCCACCGTACACGTGATAGTTCTGTGTGTCAACACGACTCACTGTACTCGTGATAGTTCTGTGTGTTAACACGACTCACTGTACACGTGATGGTTCTGTGTGTCAACACGACTCATTGTACACGTGATGGTTCTGTGTGTCAACAAGAGTCACTGTACACGTGATAGTTCTGTGTCTCAAAGGGACTCACGGTACACGTGATGGTTCTGTGTGTCAACTCGACTCACTGTACACGTGATGTTTCTGTGTGTCACCGGGACTCATTGTACTCGTGATAGTTCTGTGTGTCAACACTACTCACTGTACACGTGATGGTTCTGTGTGTCAACGGGTCTCACTGTACACGTGATGGTTCTGTGTGTCAACACGACCTACTGTACACGTGATGGTTTTGTGTGTCACCGGGACTCAATGTACACGTGATGGTTCTGTTGGTCAACACGTCTCACTGTACTCGTGATAGTTCTGTGTGTTAACACGACTCACTGTACACGTGATAGTTCGGTGTGTCAACACGACTCACTGTACCTCGACTCACTGTACACGTGATCGTTCTGTGTGTCAACACAACTTACTGTACACTTGATGGTTTTGTGTGTCAACACGACTAACTGTGCACATGAAGGTTATGTATGTCAACACAACTCACTTTACACTTGATGGTTTTGTGTGTCAACACGGCTAACTGATCACATTTTTGAATAACCAAGGCCCACCGTACACGTGATAGTTCTGTGTGTCAACACGACTAACTGTTCACATTAAGGTTCTGTGTGTAAACACGACTTACTGTACACATGAAGATTCTGTGTGTCAACACAACTCCCTGTACACTTTATGGTTCTGTGTGTCAACACGACTCACCGTACACGTGATGGTTATGTGTGTCTATACGACTCACCGTACACGTGATGGTTCTGTGTATCAACACGACTAACTAACACGACTAACTGTACACATGAAGGGTTCTGTGTGGCAACACGACTTACTGTACACATGAAGATTCTGTGTGTCAACGACTCACTGTACACGTGATGGTTCATGAAGGTTCTGTGTGTCATCACGACTAACTGTACACATGAAGGGTTCTGTGTGGCAACACGACTTACTGTACACATGAAGATTATGGGTGTCAACACAACTCACTGTACACTTGATTGTTTTGTGTGTAAACACGAATAACTGTTCACATGAACGTTCTGCATGTCAACACGATTAACTGTACACCTGAAGGTTCTGTGTGTAAAAACAACTCACTGTACACTTGATTGTTTTGTGTGTCAACAGCTAACTGTTCACATGAAGGTTCTGTGTGGCAACACGACTTACTGTACACATGAGGATTCTGTGTGTAAACACAACTCACTGTACACTTGATGGTTTTGTGTGTCCCCACGACTCACTGTACACGTATTTGTTATATTCCTCACTGTACACGTGCTTGTTATGTGTGTCAACTCGACTCACTGTGTGTCAACACGACTCACTGTACATGATAGTTCTGTGTGTCAACACGACTTACCGTACACGTGATGGTTATGTGGGTCAATACGACTCACCGTACACGTGATGGTTATGTGGGTCAATACGACTCACCGTACACGTGATGGCTATGTGTGTCAATACGACTCACCGTACACGTGATGGCTATGTGTGTCAATACGACTCACCGTACACGTGATGGTTCTGTGTGTTGTGTGTCAACACGGCTAACTGATCACATGAAGGTTCTGTGTGTCAACACAGCTCACTGTACACGTGATGGTTTTGAATAACCAAGGAATGAAGGTTCTGTGTGTCAACACGACTTACTGTACACGTGATGGTTCTGTGTGTTGTGTGTCAACACGGCTAACTGATGGTTCTGTGTGTCAACGGGCCTCACTGTACACGTGATGGTTCTGTGTGTCAACACAACTCACTGTACACTTGATTGTTTTGTGTGTCAACACGACTAACTGTTCACATTAAGGTTCTGTGTGTCAACACGACTTACTGTACACATGAGGATTCTGTGTGTCAACACAACTCACTGTACACGTGATGGTTCTGTGTGTCGACTCGACTCACTGTACACGTGACGGTTCAATGTTTCACCACGACTAACTGTACACATGATGGTTCAATGTCTCACCACGACTAACTGTTCACATAATGTTCTGTGTGTCATCACGGCTAACTGTACACATGAAGGTTCTGTGTGTAAACACGACTTACTGTACACATGAGGATTCTGTGTGTCAACACAACTCACTGTACACTTGATGGTTTTGTGTGTCAACACGGCTAACTGATCACATGAAGGTTCTGTGTGTCAACAAAACTCACTATACACTTGATGGTTCTGTTTGTCAACACGACTCATTGTACACATGATGGTTCTGTGTGTCAACACAACTCACTGTACACTTGATGGTTTTGTGTGTCATGACGACTAACTGTTCACATGAAGGTTCTGTGTGGCAACACGACTTACTGTACACATGAAGATTCTGTGTGTCAACACAACTCACTGTACACTTGATGGTTCTGTGTGTCAACACGACTCACTGTACACATGAGGGTTCAATGTTTCACCACGACTAACTGTACACATGAACGTTCTGTGTGTCAACACGATTAACTGTACACATGAAGGTTCTGTGTGTCAACACAGCTCACTGTATACTTGATGGTTTTGAATAACCAAGGCCCACCGGACACGTGATAGTTCTGTGTGTCAACACGACTCACCGTACACGTGATGGTTATGTGTGTCTATACGACTCA